GTCTAATCCCCTGCTCTCGCAGGAGACCTATACTATTTCTAATAAGAGACTTACAAAGAGACTGGACAGTCATTTAAGTCTCTTCTTATTTCCTAACAGTTAGAACAATTAATCAGTAGAACAACTTGCCTCCAGAAGTTGTGAATGCTCCCGACACTGTAAGTTTTCAAGAAGAAATTGGACAATGATTTGTCTGAAATGGTATAGGGTTTCCTGCCTAAGCAGGGGTTGGACTAGAAGGGTACAAGGTCCCTTCTAACATTCTGTTCCGTTCCGTTCCATTCCATTCCATTCCTATTCACCTCCAGTGATGGGGGCACCCACAACCTCCAAAGGCAATTTGTTGGACTTGTTAATTGTTCTTACTATTTGTTAAAAACAGATCATGCCAAACCAATCTTATTTCATTCTTCGATAAAGTGACTAAACTAGTAGACCAGTGAAATGCAGTGGACATAGTATACTTAGATTTCAGTAAGGCATTTGACAAGGTAGACCACAACCTACTCCTTCGTAAGCTAGGAAAAGATGGAATAGACAACATCACCACCAGATGCATCTGTAGCTGGCCGACAAACCTTACTCAATGAGTAGTCCTCAATGATACTACATCCACATGGAGAGAAGTAAGCAGTGGGGTACCACAAGGTTCCGTTTTAGGCCAAGTACTCTTCAATATCTTCATAAATTACTTAGATGAGGGAATGGAGGGGAACTCATCAAATTTGCAGATGACACCAAACTGACAGGAGTAGCCAACAGAAGACAAACTCAAGATCCAAAAAGATCTTGACAAACTTGAACAATGGCCCTATCCAATAAAATGACTTTCAATGTGGAGAAAAGCAAAGTCTTACATTTAGGCAGGAAAAACCAAAGGTGAAAATACAGATTGGGTGAGACCTGGCTTAAAAACAGTAACTGTGAGAAGGACCTTTGAGTCCTAGTGGACGATCACTTGACTATGATCCAGCAGTGTGCAGCAGCAACCAAAAAAGCTAATACAATCCTGGGTTGTATAAACAGAGGCATAGAATCAAGATCACGCAAAGTATTAGTACCCCTTTATAAAATCCCTAGTAAGACCACACCTGGAATACTGCAGCCAATTTTGGTCACCATATCACAAAAAAGATGTTGAGAGTTTGGAAAAAAATCAGAGAAGAGCAACTAAGTTGATCAAAGGTCTGGAGACTAAAACATACAAAGAACAGCTGCAGGACTTGGGTTTGGCTAGTCTAAAGAAAAGAAGAAATAGGGGAGACATGATAGCAGTGTTCCAGTATCTGAGGGGCTGCTACAAGGTAGAGGGGGTCAGGTTGTTTACCAAAGCACCAGAGGGAAGGACGAGAATAATGGTTGGAAGCTGATCAAAGAGAGAAGCAATCTGGCATTAAAGAGAAACTTTCTGACAGTGAGGACAATCAATCAGTGGAATAGCTTACCCCCAGAAATTGTGGGCACTCCATCATTGGAAATTTTTAAGAAGAGACTAGACATTCACCTGGCGGTATAGGTTCTCCTGCTTGAGCAGGAGGCTGGACTAGAAGACCTCCACGGTCCCTTCCAGCTCTATTCTATTCTATTCTATTTCCAAGTGTACACCGTTTAGAAACAGAAATTAGAAAATTAGGATTACTGATATTCAGCAGTTCTCTTAATTTCAACCAGGAAGTAATACAAAGGAAATCATCTTTTAAAAAATTAGTTCCTTTTACCCATTGATTTATTTTACTGGTATTGATTTAATAAACTCATTCCATGCAAAGAGTGAGATGGAATCAGAGCCAAAAGTAGGTGAAATAATCTTGCTTTTTGGCATACAGCATCTGCAGAAAAAGATCAGATCACGGTACCAGAATTAATCTCTTGCCAAATTTTTTGAAATCAGGCAATAGCAATAGCACTTAGACTTATGTACCCTACTTTTCTTCTTTATAGCCCTCTCAAAATGGTTTACAGAGTCAGATATTGCCCCTAATAATCTGGGTTCTCATTTTACCGACCTCGGAAGGATGGAAGGCTGAGTCAACCTTGACCCAGTCAGAACTGAACTCCCGGCAATGAGCTGTGAATTAGAGTTAGAATACTGCATTCTAACCATTGCATCATCACAGTTCTTATGATATAATTTTGATAGAAACATATAGATCAAAGACCACAAGGTGCCCACTCTGATGCAAGCATAGAAGATAAGAAAATAGACAACCATAAATAGCACAAGGATCAGTTTAACTCAAGAGCCAAAATCACCAAGAGCCAAGGTTTCTAGAAGAGCAACCCTACATAGTTCCACACATCAGCACTTAATGCAATTTGACATTCTTAAATTCTTTGCAACCTTGATATGCAGGTTAAATACCCATATCCATTTCTGGGTAATGGGATCAGATAGTAATGGTAGAAATCACTTTGTTGAAGGAAACAACTAAGAAGATCTACCATTATTCTTCAAGTAGAAGAACCTATATCCCAAAGCACCAATAAAGAATATAGCAGAATAAAAAATACCAGTGAAACAAGTAGCAACTTCTCCCTGCTCTGCATAGGATGCTTCTTTTGATGTTGCTACTCTGATGCAAAGAAGCTTTACAGTAATGAAAAGGGAGAAGAAAAATGTATTAATAATAAATATGCTATAGGAACTAATTAAGACTGTGCTACCATTTTGCTTTCATATATCCTATGAACAGGACAAGGGGCAGAATTAAGTATTCAAAATATCTGCACCTGTCATTCAAGAATGTGAAACTTGGCAACACTCCCAGAATCAAACAAAGTTGAAAACAAACTTTCTAGGATTCTCTAGTTATTATCTCCTTGAGGTTAATTAAAAGTCACCACACTATTTTATTTAAAAATTCAATAACTAATCAAAGCGATTTACATTAATACTTTTTAAAAACTCTTTAAACTAGCAACCTTTCAATTGAAATTATAAATCCAAGAAACCGCTTACATTTATCCATAAGAATTGTGGAAATCATAGTTTCAATATATCTGGAAACTCCCCCAAACTTTAATCAAATGTTTCTTTTACTTCCAAATAGAATCAGAGTCTCATAGGCTTGTAGAAAGAAGATAACCATATTATTATTATATCAGGTTTCAACTACTATTCTCCACCATCCTACTATTCAGCAGAGGTTTTACTGTACCTAATCTTGAGTTTTGCATACTGTATGATCATAGACAATCATGAATTCCATGCAATGAATGAATGGAGTAATAACAACAAATAACAGTTCCTCCAACACCACCTATTTTGTTTCCCATACAAGTTGCAAACCTGGAAAATCTCTTGTCTCTGTGCTGGAATTTGCATCATGACCACAAAGAACAGCGACTGATATGGAAGTAGATATAGTCAAGCTGGATAAAATACACACTAGTATCTCTGGGGGAATTACCTACAAGAGTACCAAAGTTTTTAAAACATCCAAATATATTCTTTCTATTTTATTCTGGCTCCGAGTATAAACTTTGCATTGTTCTTTGTGAATAAGTCGGATATTTTTGCAACAAAGTGTAGAATTCTGTTTCTGACTGCTGAATCAATCATGCCTCCATTTAGAATGGTGGCTATAACATTTGAGCAGTCACTGCGAACATAACAAATGCCTTTTGCATTGTTTCAAAAGCTGGAGGAGGGAACCCTCCCTTCTGTATCCTGGAACAAAGGAAATCCAAGTTACTTATGCATTTATTTTGAAACTGCATTTGAGGACCACCTAAACACCTAGTCCAAACAGCAATCTCCTGATGGAGACCATGCTTTACTGAATTAATGCCTCCTGATGGCCATTGGAATTCCAACTTCTCACTGCTAGCTCACCAATCATAGGATTAAATTAACATTGGAAGAAAGAGGAGACAACAAAAATGTTTTGACTGCCTCCAACCTGGGAATCCCAAATCAGTTTTTAAAATGCCACTTATGACCTAATCTTCATAACTTCCTTTTCAAAAAAAAAAGGAAAGGAAAATGCCTTTCCTCTCCTGTGTAATGCAGAAAATCAGAATATAAGAAAGTGATATAATTCTGAATGTGTCAAATATCAATATTTATTTAAAAGACAACGGACCAAGACATAGAATACATTTAGTTTACAATTAGAACCAAGTTAATTTCCCAGAAACTGAAAGCCACTCAGTTGCATCCTCTTACGTACACCCAAACCGTCTCATTCAAAGTTCCTGAATAAGCAGCATTTTGTCAAGCTGTATGGATGCAGGTTTCATACTCCACATGTATGAAGTAAAGCTGAAAACTTGCAGACACAAAAGGATTAGGGAAGCATCTCTTTAATGTGTCACATAAGACATATGGTGATGTGAAGTCAAGCCCACTTGTTTAATGCCACCTAGATATTGTTGCATGAAGCTTGTCCATCAAGTTGTTGCAGTAAATGCAACACAACTTTTAATAGACATCTTGCCAAAAGCACAGAATTACTGAAACAGTTTATCATTATCCCTATGCAGTTTAAATTGAAGGGCATTGCAGCCAGCTGCCAAGGGTGTGTGCATACACAGCAGGCATTTATGAAGAGTGAAAGCCTGTTGGTGCATACAGCTGTAAAAAGCTCCTACAAGCTGAATCCATAATACTGCCAAACCACAAAGCTTCTTAAGCTATTATAGACATTTCTCAGAGGACAAGTACCATTTATCATCAAAATAAAATTGTATGTCACATTAAAAAAAACATATTTTGTCATGCATTGGTGTATTTTTGTATGTGCACGTGAAGACAAAATAAAGGCTTCATAAAATAAAAGATATTTGAAAATATAGTAGTCACTAAGAACCCAGCCCATGAAGCAGCAATCATGTCAGCCTTTCTAACATACACTACTGACAAACCTCTGCAAATTCCTGATGATCCGCAAATGCTTTGCCTTTCCACACCCAAATATGTAGTATGAATGCATGCACTAGGAAATTAAGGTTGAAACACATATACACAGAGATGTACATCAGATCCATTTAATTCTTACCTTTGACTTGAGTGTCATATTCAGCTATGATCTCCTTATCCTTTTTTAATTTAGCTGGCGACGTCATGTTTCCTCCCCCCAAAAAGGTTATCCTCCGAACAGATCCTCCAGAATATCACAAATAAATATAATTTGTGTTCCTCCCAAAGGAGGGGGAGCAAAACAATCAGTTGGGCAGGCTTGTCTTTCCTCCACAGCAGTCAGTCCATGGAGAGAGGGCGTGAGATGGTGCGTTTGCAAGCAGCAGAGACATGCAGATGTGAAGGGCTCAGCGGACAGACAAGGCAGCAGTTTGAATTTCCTGCACCAAAATCCTGAGCAGCAGTGGTGGTAGCAGCAGCATCAGACTAGAGAGAATCTGCAGCCCCCAAAGGCTTTTCCCAATTGCTAACATTAATAACGCAGCCAGGGAGTGGAAGTCCTTCTGCGCAACAACATGTTGTGTGCGAGTCTGATTCTCGGTTGCTGCTTTTCTTTCTTTCTTTTTTTAAAGGACAAAGTCAGAGATGATGAAATTAAATTCCCAATAGTAGAAGTGGAAAAAGCTCCGAACCACTTTCTTCTATTACACCGCCTGTAAATTCAAATATGTATTTCGTTGGCAAATGCTTACATATGTATTTTATTGGCAAATGCTTAAATAAATATGCTACCAATGTGATTTCAAGATAAAAATGTAGTTCTAATCAAATGCTAATTGTAATATGTCACATTAAAGAAAAATGCAAAATAAGTATATTGAGAGGGCAGATTGCGAAAGGTTATATTATCATCAGGACACATGAAACCCATGAAAATGAAGAAATGGAAAGACAAAGAAAAATCGACCACCAAAGAAAGCAATTAAGTAAATAAGAAAGAAAACAACTATAGACTTAGAAATATGGAAAGCTAAAAAGGGAAGCCAGGGCCAAATCTTCATATTATTTGAGCCATGAGAGCTCATAAATTCATCCAAAGCCATTGTATAAGCATGGGTAATCCTCTTTGGTACAGTAAAACTGCAGCCATAGTCCAGCCAATAGATCAAAGTATTTTTATTATTGTTAATTTTGCAGATTTGTCCTCCACTGGACCATATCAGCAAAGAAAAACTGTACTTGACTCAAGACATCAAAGCTTTTTTGGACTTAGGAAATGCAGCTCAAAGACAGATGTGAGTCTCTCAGCAGGGGGAACTTTTGCTTTAAGGATCACAAGCTACTGTTGGCCATAAATGTTAAGAAAGGGTTACAGACAAAGGGGGAAAAAAGATCCACTACAAAAAGACAAACAATGTGGCCAACAGAGACAGGAAATGGTAAGGCTAAAGGGACTAAGGGCAAACAAACAAAGAGAAAGTGTGGCTAACTCCAAAAAAGTGTGACATACTTTTTTGTGTGCTTCTGCCACATCAACCATCTGTGAAATAACTCTCAAAAAATATATTAACCACTCCCCATCCCATCTACAGTGCTCGTCTCCACACAGATTCAAGCCCCAGTTTTTCCTCATGAGAACCTAGTTGTTCAGAAGTCAAATACAATGAAATATGACAGAGTCTATTTATATAGACACCCCCCCTTTATTTCCATCTCCACCCAAGCATATAGATTTCCACAACTGTTAGCCCACCAAGCTGAACACATCCCACCAGGCATGTTTTCTAGCTAATCTAGTAAGTGACAGACATTCTGTTTTACCAGTGATATTCTGTTTTATCAGGCCATTGTATATATGGTAGCTGGTGGGCTACATTTAGCCTAGTGGATCAACAGAATATTGAGACAAGGCTCATTTTTTTCCTTGTTATTAAATGTGTATTGGGATATAAGAAAGGAAAACACCAGACTGGAGAGGGAAAAGAAGGCAGCTTTGTTATTGGGCAAATAAAACTAGGGAGCTGTTGGTTATGCATAGCTATTCAAAAGCTGTTTATTTAATAAATGAGAAATAGTTAGAATATTTCAGAAAAAGAGATCGTATAGAATGCTATAATTCTACTGGTCTGGAAGCATTACTCCTACGGGCTATTTTAACCGATTATCCCAAAAGACTAGCTAGAATACAGGAAGTTGCACTCGAAATAGGTTTTTTGAAGCAGTTTTAGGGGAATAGTTTTACAAGATCGGGACTCTAACCTGAAAGAGCTATCGTATGTCACAGGGGAGCAGTTTGTAGGGGAATCTTCTTCTCGCAGGGGAATATGGCAATTCAGCTCCCGATTTGTCGCAATGGGAAGTATTATGGGATGGAACCTCGATCCTATTAAAATCTGTTGATTTCTCAAGGGGGGAGGGCGAGTCTGGAATATTACAGCAGGGAATGCTTTCAAAAAAAGCACATCCTTTCAAAAAAAAGAATTATATCAAAGTGGACTTCCAGATGGCACAGGGCGACAATTATACTAATTACAAACAATTATAATCAAGTTCGGGAAGGCAGACGGGAGGATAGACCCCTCGCAAAGGAAAATTGTGGGATAGGGTGAAACTGAAGTCGGAACACGACTTCAAATTCCAACATCGTAGACGCAATTATTACCTGCACTTCTGGCACAGACCAAGCCACCTTCCACGCCTCGCGTTCTTCTGGATACTCCCGCGATCCGTTCCCTCCGCAGTCCCACTCCTGCAACCCCGCCCATTCGATTTCGCGACACCAATCAGAATCGAAAGCTACGAAAACTGCCAACGACGCGAGCCAATGGCCACATCCTGTCGTCTCTTCTCCACACCCTCGATCCCGCCAGTTTTCTGTATCGGCACCGCCCACCAAAGACTGAAGAAGACCATTCAGGATGCTCGCACGGCAGAAGCTCAGCCCAGTTGGTTCGCATCCATAAGAGGAAAGAATATGTAAATATGAGTTCTAAGCAAACCAATCCAAAGTAAGGGGTATAGCTTCATTCTCCGTACGTTAGGAGAGAGGCGGGATAATATCCTAGCTCTTCCAATGGTTGAGGTCGATCTCTCTTTGCCCGGAGGCGGGTCAAGAATTTTCCAATGAGATGCGAAATTGTAGATTCAAACTGACAGCCAAAGGGAAGGCTGCTTATGTTTGGGGCTTTAAGCAGCTCGGGGAGCGGGGGAAGCATCCGCCAATTGGGAAGTGCTGATGGGAATCCGGGAGATTCAGATCTACATGTTCATTCAGTGAGTAACTGAGAAACTGAGAAAAGATTTAAGAGCCCTAAAAGTTGGGAATAGTTACGAGAGGCCTTTGCGGGTTAAGCACACGAGGGATTAATAATAGGGGATTGTGTCGAAAGAGGGATAATTAATAAAGAGAAATAATCGAGAGCTTGCAGAAAACTCCTGTCGAATCCCGATGGGCTGATATTGAGTGTTTTATATTGCCTGCAATTAAATCCAGCCTGACCTCCAGAAGCTCAAACCAGCCAACGTAGCATTGCACCCTCCTCCCGTTTTATCCTCGCCACAGCCCTGTGAGGCCACATGGAAAGAAGGTTTAGCGAGTTGGACTAATTCGGGGTGATCATTTCATGGCAGAAATTGAACTTGCCTCTTGCTGGCTCATTCATTCTGGTTAGGAAGAAAAAAAAGGGGGGGGGAGAGAGGCTGAGTTGCAACTCAGCATCGGTATTTATGTATATCGCATTAAACGGAATCGGTGGTCACAGATTTCCTGAGAAAACAGGAGCAACAAAGTCCTGCGAGTAAGGGGTGAGAAGAGAGAAGGACTGATTTCCACCCAGAAAGCAAACACCTTATCCGACCTACTGAAAGAAGCCAAGGGACATGCTGGAGCCCCCACTAATGCAGACTGACCTTAGTATGTCTGCCGGCAGTTGGAGTTTTGCAGATCGATGTGTGTCTCTGTTGTTCTGCAAGTTCTGTCAACAAGTGCTTAGTTCACGGGGCATGAAAGCCGTGCTTCTGGCTGATACAGAGACCGACCTCTATTCCACAGACATGCCTCCCATCAGGTAAGTTAATGTATAGGATTTGAGTGAACTCTTTTGTCTTCCCCTTGTCTAGTTTGAATAGCTTCTACATACAAGAGATTGGAAGAATATTAGACATTCTTCTTAAATCACAGTGACTGCTCTTAATTTAAATTGAGGTTCCATTTCTTGTTCTGTTTTACTACCCTTGCAGGGTAGTTAAGGTGAGTTGAACGGTTAAGTGCTCTTGGTGGAAACACAAATTTTCAAATTCACATTTTGATTTGTGGTTCCCTAAAGGGTGAGATGGAGGATGACACAGGCCATGAATATGTTAAAACTGGATTTCTTCTGCTGAGCCTTGTCTGTCTGTCCTGATGTTTTATAAAATCTTTATGTATTATAAATGAAAACATTTGATTTATTAAAAAATAACCAAAAGCATTGGAGAAATGTAAGATTTTCTGTAGTAGGCATGTTCAATTTGTGATCCAGCCAGCTAAATATAAACCTTGAGCCATGTAATGTTGAACCTTGTTGTGCACTTTTAACATCTTACATTTTTATATTTCCTGCAGAATGCAATCTGCTTCCATTGCTCTCTTTAGCAAACTGCAAGTTGATAAAATCTTTTAAAAATGTTTCACAATTTAAATGAGAAAAACAAATAGTTTTATTGTTAGAATTGCACTATCACTGCTGTGGCGGTATGTTGAAACGGTCACTTTCACTTCCCCTTATGTTTAGTATGTGATCTAGCTATTGTGGTAACAACCAAAAGAACCAAGTGAAGGGTTGCATAAACCACAGGAAAAGATAATCTCTTTCTGACAGCTTCAATGGTTGTGAATCAAAATATAACAGCTAAAGTGTGTGGAAATGAAGAACCTCACTGGGATACAATATTTTCTCTATAATGTTTATTTATCGAAGACAGTATTTTTAACATGACTAACCATTAAATTATTTGCTCCAATGGGATCAAAACCAAAACTTACTAACGTAATCTCCCATATCTGCACAATCTTGCAAAATACATGAATATAATTGCATCTACATTGATTTCAAAAAAGATAAAGACTGCTATGAAATTATTTCCAAGATTGCTTAGAATATCCTATTTTGTGGAGAGAATCAGGATTCCAGATTAATAACTACATCCAACTAAATGTAGTTATTATTCATTACTTTTCATGTTAACTAATGGCAAGAGATCTACAGAGTTGAGAGGCTGGGAGCAGGGAGACCTCAGCCTTACTAATTACATTTTCATGCAATCTGTATGTCACATTATTGAACAGCAGGCTCCCCCCTCCTCCTGTGTTTCTTCTGTTTAGCTCATTCATGGCCCAAAAGTCAGTCAGCACTTCAGCAGCTTTTGGATTTCAAAAGATCAAATATGCAAACACAGCATAAAATAACTTTTAAACTTCCTAAAATGATTCAAAGACAGCTGAAAATACTCCAGAACATTTTATAAAGGCCAAGTCTTTAGGGAATTATATAATTGTTTCTTTGGTTAAATTTATGGCATAAGTTATACATACCTGGTAAACATTAGTTGAAATCATATTATGAGACTTTGGCAGTGTTGTTGAACAATTTAACAGTGTGGCTATTGTTACCACAGGAATGTATTAAATTTAGAAAAACTGGATTTCAGGCTGAGACATTAAAAAGGAAAATTTGTTACAGTGCTCCAGGAAATATTTTACTGCTTTTTGTTTCTTTTGCTCTGCGGTATTAATAGCTTAGCATCATAGCTATTGATGTTCTGATGCGACTAAGTGGTTAAATGTAAAACATAGAACCAATAAAAACTGGGAGTTTTTAAATGGCAAAAACGCCTGATAACGACCTACCATCTGATTATTTTCTATTATGTCAAAAACCCAAATGATAAAAAATAAATTGAAAATATGCTTTGGAGATTTAAAATGTTGTACCCTTATTATTATTATTTTTTTCCTTCTTAGCTTTTTCCCAGAAATGTAGAATCCATTGCCACTGAGTTTGGAAGAAGACATTGAGGACTTTGTTTTTCTATCTATGTTAACCCTAATGGGGGGGGCTGAAGTACAACTATCAATAGCGTTATGTATGAATCCAATCAATGAATAATGATTTAAGCAATCCCTTGCTTTTTACAATATCCTCTTGTTACAATTCCTTTCTAGGCCTAGAGCAGAGCTGAAGAAAGTGTTGCCAATGGATCATACATGATTCAGAGAACTCCATCCCAAAATCTTAAATACTTAAGAATTAATTCACAACTGAAAACTTCCCATCTATCCTTTTCCAACAGATCTTGGTTCCACGTGCTTCTAAGGGTGTAGCCCAGAGGTAGGCAACCCAACACACTCAAAGAGCCACTTGGACCCGTTTCCCACCGAAAACAAAACACTGGGAGCCGCAAAACCCTTTTGATATCTAAAATGAAGATAACACTGCATATATCCTTTTTTATTTTATATATATATAAATTATATATTTTTAGTGTAATTGTTAACACACACACACACACACACACACACACACACACACACACATACATACATACATATATATATATATATATATATATATATATATATATCATAAAGGTAAAAAAGGATATATGCAGTGTTATCTTCATTTTAGATGTCAGAAGGGTCTCTCTCTATGTCTCTCTCTCCCTCCCTCTCTCCTTCTCCCTCTCTCACTTTCTGCCCTTGGTCTGCCAGTCCTCTTCCCCCACTCTCTTTCTTTCTCTCTTTCTTTCCTCTCTCTCTCCCTCCCTCTCTCTTTCTCTCCTCCCCATCTCTCTCCCTCTCTCCGATCTTCTGCTTACTTGGCAAGCTGGCTTCAAGCTGTTCTCCAACAAGCTCAGAGGTAGGCAACCTCGGCTCTTTTATGACTCATGGACTTCAACTCCCAGAATTCCTGAGTCAGCATAGCTGGGCTAGCTTGCTCTCTCCTGCCCTTCCTGCTTCCTGCAGAGATGCAACAAAGGGAGGAGCCCTGCCCAAAAAGCTTTTCAGCTTGTCGGAGAACACCATGAGTCTACTCTCTTTTATACACACAAAAACACAAACACACAAAAACAAACAGAGAGAGAAGCAGGGAAGCGCAAGTGCCTCTCTCTGTCTCTGTCTCTCTCTGCAAATGGCAGAGGAAGCTGGGAGCCACAGGGGAAGGGTCAACGAGCCGCATGCGGCTCCAGAGCTGCAGGTTGCCAACTGCGGTGTAGCCCTTGACATGCCACAAAAGTTTTGTTTAGCTCTCAAATCAGAGGATTGTAAAACGTATGATTGCATTGGCAGTATCACCTATATCCCCTCTGCTTCATACAAAGAACTGTAAATTATGTTGGCGTATAATATAGTAGAAACAGACACAATACAGCACTGTAATAGCTAATACATCTTCAGTCAGTATATTCTACCAAAATGCACAGCCACAGGGCTTGGAATACTGTAAGCAGTGAAGCAATCCTCATGTATTGTTTTAGAAAATGGCAATATTCTAATCTGAAATAATTATGGAAATATAGCACATTGTTTGGAACTTAATATCATAGGAGCTTAAGCAGTAGTTTTCTAAAAGCTAGACTAATAAAGCTAAAGATCCGCAGATTATTTAATTTTCAGCCTATAATTTCAGGGTTTTCTTTAAAGCTTGAATAAGGTCTTTTGTTAATTATATTCTTCTCAATAAAAACTGAATAAGTAATGCAAATGTGCCACTTCTTTATCTTAATAACTATCAAAGAAATATTTTCTATATTTTCCCTTCCATTCGCAGTGCACATTACAAATGTATAGAGGTACAGTCTAAAAACTAAATCAGTGGAATTCTGCTCATCTTTTCAGCAAAACAATTTGGACCCCATTGGATTGATTCAGAAAAAACATCCCCATCTGTGGTCAATGGATAGGTCTGAAAATGAGTTGCTGTAAATTTATTGTAGCAGCATTGCCAGCTAATCCAGCCAATAATCTCACCGGCATTAATGAAAACTTGAGACTCTTAGTTAAAATTCTGAATGAATTAACCTAGCTGAATTGCTTGAATGTTGGCAAAGCAGCTACTTACTTTTTTTAATCCTATATTGATAGCTAGAAATATAATGGAATGTTCTGTTATACTGTAATAACAGTAACAATATCCCTTGATCATTCAGAATTGGTATTCTTCAAGTTAACAGCTATATGGAAGGTAGGATTGTTTCAGAAGTTTGATTTTGAAAAGTCTGACACCAATGGACCTGCTTTTCAATTCTGAGCTATAGGCAAAATCTTTTGAATTTTATACATCTAAATGTTGCAATGCAGTTTTCTACTCAAAGTATCTATAAAATGTATTTTAGAATATATTGGGAAAGGCAAAATATCTTAAAACTATTATCTTAATTAGTTACATGTGTGTTTTCAAATTTTGTAATTTTTTTTAAAATGAATAAATAAAACCAAGACAAAAAAAGAGTTAAAATGAATATACCTGAAAAAGATACTAAGAAATTGACTAACATCTCTATCCATGTTGCTGTTAAAACATGCCTAAGCACAGTTGAAAACAGCTACAACCTTTACACCATGAGATTGCATTGCAAAAAAAAAGTTTCAGATTTAGGAATATTTCAGAATATAATTTTTTACTTGCAACTTAGTTGTAGGCATATTATTTGGAAGTGAATATTCTTAAATCTGTTGGTAGCTGTTATCTATGAAGATTAATAGGATTACAGCCATATAGCCCCACCTAATGATAGTAGAATTTGTCTCTATGGGATTTACTCTGCATTTAGTAAATGGGATTACAGTCTTAAAGAGCACAGTGGCTGGGTTTCTGCAACACATTAAACCAAGTCCAAACAAATCAGACTATTTGTGCTTAGTGATTTGCTGAGATACGATCCTACATGTTATCTATGTAGTCACTGTCATAGAAAGTAAAACAAAATCACTGCATTGGTTTCAATATAAAGAGAAATGCTGATTCTTAATTTTTCATTAAAATGTTTTTCTTTCCAAACTTAGGATCATAATAGAAATGTTCACTTTCTTATAATGAGCTACAATAGTATTTCCTAAGCCACGGGTGTCAAACTTACTGTGTCACGTGACGTGACATATCGCGACTTTTTTTGCATTGCCGAAGCTGGGGTGGGGGCGGCCTCCGCATGATGCAACCAGCCCATGGGCCGGCAGTTTGACACCCCTGTCCTAAGCCATTACCCTGATCATCCTGGTCTGAGATAATAGGCAGTGTTACACCAGTACATCTGGAGCACATCAAGCTGGGGAAGGCAATACTATAGAAACCAGAATTGTCTTAATTCTAGCATGAAAAAGCCACCTATAAATCAAAGTGCCTTTGACAACCCAGTTTAGTTTCTTCATTTTTGGAGAGTCCTGACAAGAAAAGGACTTCTTGTCAAAACTTCAGAAAGTTGAATTTATTTCCCAACTAAGATAGTTTTACTGTACTTCTTTCACAGTGGAGAGGTTTATGATTTTGGAAAGAGATATGTAAATGAAAAATAAAGGGAATAGCACTCTGTTAGAATTTAATTAATACTATATTTCATAGTTAAGCAATGATCAAATTTATTTTAATCATCTCCAATATCTTTCCTTTCTAATCACTACCAGTACAGTTGACTTCATTGGAAACTGCTATTACACAGAGATGTGCAAATGTAAACTGATGAATGTTGCTTGTTTGAAATGGTGAGTAATATTAGAGTATTACTATTATTATGTATTCTTTAATATATAAAAATATTGTTAACTGCTATGTCTATTGCTCATTTCTATACAAGATTTAAAAGATACATGATTACTGATAATTAATCTAAGTGAGTGCTAAATAATCATGGAAGTGTTGAATTAAAAATCTGTTGGATTAGTTTCAGTAATAAATGGGATGGTACATGGTGATCTAACACCTGTTTTGGGTTTCAATATCAAAATAAGACATTCAAGATTTCCAAATAAATTGTAGTCATATAACTGGGTCATTAATGAACTGAATTTCCACTTATAAAATTGGTTTTCTTTTTTAATGGCTTTTTATAAAAAAAAGTAACAGCAGAGATAAGGTAGGTGAAATTTCTCTTAGCATGGATATAGGAAATATTGAACTGTTGAAGGAAAAGTCTTCATCATGGTTCAGTCCAAGCCGGGAATAAACAACATGGCGACTGCTTTAGAAAGAAGGTTGCAATTTATTGAAGAGGAGAGCCAGACAGAAAGATGGCTCTGGAAGAAGAGAGAGAGAGAGAGAGCACATGTAGGGAGTGGGTTTTTATACCCTCTTGAGCCTTTTGTTTGGAGTTGTTCCTGTGGCATGAACTTTGATCTGAGTCTGAGTGTACCTTTCCGGTATTCTGATGGTGATGGGTTAATCCTATTATGTCCCAAAGATCAATCCTGCTGATGACTCTTAGATTTTTGGTGTGAGGGATTGTTGATTTTAGAGATCTTTCTTCCTAATCCCAGTTTCCTGGCTCCAGTCTTTCTGACAAGATTATCACATCTACAATTCTGCAGACTTGGTTTCTGTTTGGGACAGAGAGACTTGAGGGTGGAGTTGGTTTCTGCTATTAAAATCCTTTAGGGAAATATATTCTGCCTTTTAAATATTTCCAAAAATATTTCTTTCTCGGGGGGTGGGGCTGACTTACCACAGAATCTTTTGAATTTCTGTATATTTTGTATTGTTGATTGCAGTTTTAAAAAGTTAGCAGTTATGTATTAATAGCTGAAAATCAAGGTGCAAATGATATTGATCATTAAAAAATGGGGAGGAGTTATTATTTTACTGGGTTTTCACTTTTTGTAAGCCACTCATGAGTGAGTGGGCAGCTATATAAATCTTCCAAATAAATAAATAAATCTGTGTCTATAAGTTAGATGTCTCTGCAGCTGTTTCAAGCCCTCTCTTATTTTAACTATTTCAGAGCTTGTCAAATTCGTGCCTTTGCACAATAAATTGATAGCTAAAGTGAAATAGAATAATGTTGGTAAATGTGTTGGTAAATGTCACCAGCTGGGATGGGGTGTGCTGCATCGGATGAGCCCGCTATTGCAGGGTAGAAAGAAAGCTTTGGTTAGAAAACTGAGGCCAATTTCAACCAAACTAGCCTGAAGCTGCTATGAAAACACATGGGAGTGGTGGGAGTAATGGCACCAAGAAATGTAAACAAAATAAACTGGCAGGGTTTGGATTCCAGTAGTGAATCCACTGCTCAGGTCGTCCTTGGCACCATTTTGAATTATATTACCATTATTTTAATTATTTTGCTGTTTCACAAAACAGTACTCCAAATACAAATAAAAAATGTTGACAAATTATAGAACTTTACCATAATATATTCATATTTTTTCCTTTAAGAAAACAGAAAGCAGATAACTATTTTTCTTTGTGTGTGTGTATGTATATATACATACTCTGTGTATCTATTGGATGTGAATTTGACATAGAATCAGTAAGCATTAGAGTTCACAATTTCCAGATCTATTCAGTTTGGGAAGAGAAATTACGCTTCCATTTTAAAGTTGTGTTTTGCTTTCTGTTGGAATTGAAATTAATTTAACTTATTTTATTAACACAGTAGTACATTTGGAGGCTAGAGGTACAGATTATTTCTCCATTTTGCTTATTACTTTGTCGATTGCTGCATTATTTTTGGTAGATGAAAGGATTTTATTTTTATTAATTTGATATGTAAGTAGGATACATTTGCATATCTATTATTTATATAGTTCATTTTTTTCTACATAGTCTTTGATTTAAAATTTGCATGTCATATACTTTGTTTGCTTTCCCAGCGGTAATGTTGTAGGCTACCATGTGATTGCTCCATGCAAACCTTGTTTATTCTCTTGCAACAATGGACACTTCTGGATGTTTCACAGTAAAGCCGTTTTTGGAATTGACAGATTTGATTCATCTGGTATGAAACTTCTATTCTGCACATGCATTTAATTGTTTTATATTTCAGATTGTTGAATCTATTTTGTTTTTCATTGGAAATCTCATAGTCCATCAATCAGAACCAGTACAAAACAACTGCTTAAGGAAGTGAACATATTCTTAGTGTTGAAATATAGTATTTTAATCATGTATTTTGCTTAGGTCATGTGTGATTATTAGCCAATAATTTTGCCAAGAAAATGCTGCATATAAACTAAATTCTCCAGTCACTTAAATCATCAGACCGGAGTGAATTGGTCAACAAATTTCATGCAAATTTAAGGTGATATGTGTTGGATATTATTTAATGCAAATGCCAGATGATAATACAATTAACTCATTGTAAAACCATATGCTATGGTTACATGCTATTAAGCAAATCTCTTCATGAGCAACTACATTCAGGGATGAACAATTTATAAAGCAATCGTGGTAGTACAGTAGTTACATTTGCAGTCTTTCCCCATCACACCACCATATCTCTTTCCCAGATTTATCAATATCAACACTCCATCTGTCTGTATACCATACCAGCTATACTCTGTATAATGTTCCCATCCATCATATGTGCGTTTACTCACTGAGAATCCAATTATCCATTTGACCGCTGGCTGCTATGTTTTTATAATACATGCTTTACTTCCATCATATTCCACTTTTCATCACATTCAGCAACTTCATTCATTCAAAACATTCCCTATATTGAGCCTATACACAGTATCATAAGCTTTCTCTAAAACAATGGACAGAAAGTAAATTTGTCACATTCTTTTGCTTCCCAGTGATTTGCTGAAGAATTTGCACACCTCCAAGTATAACATTTGCCAAATTTTACTAATTGCCACCCTCGTGTCTGCCAGCTACATTTCCAGACTCATTTAACAATGTAATGCCCATCCAGTTTGTGTTTACATTTCTCTTGCATAGGAGTATAATGACATTACTTTTTCTGTATTTTCTCCTGTCATTTCCACTCATCCTTCCATTCATATTACACTAATAAAATGCATTTTCCTTTAAATCAGATTTATTAAAGATGTTGTACAACACTTCCCCCATCCCAACTCCAAAAATCAAGTTACTATTCTAGGTAACACACAACTATTATATAACCAAATTATGACTGCTACCTTCATAGACACACAGATCAACATCAATGTACCAGTTCATGTTTTCTGACATATATTTAACTGTTTCATTCATAAATAAATCTACACAAATCCTATTTATCAATTCTACTCCATCAGATCAAACTTCTTATCCCAGCCTTCCTGTTAGTTACACAAATAGACAACAAAATTATTTGCTTTATTTCCATTTAATCTGTTAATTCACTGTTAATTCTTTGTCATCTTATCCTTTTATATTCTATTCTTCTATCTTCCGTAAGGGCTCACAGACATTAATATCTTCTGTCCATCATGCCTTTGGTCAGTCAGGGCTTTCATATAATACGGTTGGTCTTCATAAGTCAATAAAGAAGCGTTAGTTGTATCTGCATCACATGCAGCAATTCTCGCTAACATGAGGGCATAGTGAAGTTAGTTTGGTCATATATTGTCATAGGTTAATTTTATCTCAAACTTCCTTAGGTTGGTCTCTGTAGACTAGGATCTATCTATCTTTTGCAAATTAATCCTGCAAACTAACACACTGTTGCCCATATCCCACCAACTGAAAGGTATATCAGTGTATTGATACTCTCAGGATATGTTTTCTTTGATATTGTGCTTTATTAAGTTAACTTCAGATTCTGACCACAAAAAATATAAACTGATTTACATTTTTTTTTAGGTACAGATTTCTTGCTTTGGGGCAACTTACCAGATTTACATGAAAGCACCAATGAAGATATACCCAGCACCTCTGAGGAGGAATATATCAGATAAATATTATGTGCACTGCATCGCATGATGTGTTTCTTGTATTTAAAAGAAGTATAATGCACTGATCCCAGGAAGACAATACAAAAGGAAGGGAAAAAATCCTTTAAAGGCTGATGTTGTTGTTGTTAATTGCGAAGTCGTGTCCGACCCATCACGACCCCATGGACAATGTTTCTCCAGGTCTTCCTGTCTTCTACCATCTTCTGGAGTCCATTTAAGTTCACACCTACTGCTTCAGTGACTCCATCCAGCCATCTCATTCTCTGTCGTCCTCTTCTTCTATTGCCCTCAATTTTTCCCAGCATTAGGCCCTTCTCCAGTGAGTCCTTCCTTCTCATTAGGTGGCCAAAGGCTGATACCTGTCACCAAAAGCTATCTGATCTAGTAAGCATCTTGCTACATAATGAGACTAATATAAAGATAAGAATGCAGTTCTTACTTGTTCACTTTCTTTTTTTTAAAAAAAAAACACATTTTATTGGTTTTTTAATTCTTAAGAAAAAGTACTCAGGACACACCATGGTGTTTGGGTAATCAAACATTTAAAAGTAAAAACATATCTAAACAACTCGATTCAATACATTCACTGTCCCCTCTCTATTTCCCTCAAATAGCATAATACATTTAAAATATTCCATTTCTAATTTAAATTTCTATTACTGCTAAACCTGTTTTAAAACTTTGTCAGTTTACAATTACCATAATCAAATTTAACTTTAAATCAACAAGTTATCAGTTCAGGTATCCCTTCCAGATATGTTCTAATTCTTAATCTCTCACATCCCTCCTTTTATCACCAATCTCATTTATTTCTTCTTCCACTACACAATAGATATCCTAATTAAAATAAAAAATTAATCTGCCCTATACATAGATAATCCCACAATCGATCAATCTCTTTAAGATAACAAAATAATGTTAAACCTTAAATCATTTCAATTCATTAAACAAAATTCAAATTTCATCCAATTGATTATCATGCCTTATCACATCTATGTTATCATACAGAAAGGTCATCTTACTAATTTAAAACACTCAGTTAATTATTAAAACCATCCAAATCTAAAAAGCCAACATTTTTTCAATTCCAATGCATAATAATTTTCATCAAAATAAACCTATTGTTCCAAAAGGTACATTCTTAATCTATTTAAAATATCTATTCTAATAATAATCACCCTCCTATTTTTTTCTTACTTCTAATTCTAAATCTTAATCCTTAAAACAGTCTATAAATCCAACATTGCCTTTTAATCCATTACACAAATTGTGTAACTTGTTCACTTTCTAAAAGGACAAAATCCATGTATGTGCATATTTGGCTTCTGGAGTCACTTGATTTTATCTGTTTTCAAATTATGACAAACAAAATCAAATATGTTCCACACCCCTATCAATTATTGTTACATTAGAATACATCTAATAGCCACATAAGAAATAAACTCTATAGTGCTTGATAAGTGAGTGTTATCATTTTTCTGTCCAGAAGCTAGGCCAGACCTCACTTTAGTGACTACATTTAATGTTGTTGCCCAGAAAGCATACAGTACATATTGTCCTATTGGCAGCCTTCTAATTTCAGGCATTTGTATTAGAGGGGGCTAATAGAGAGCTCTTAAATATAACCCTTTCTCTCTTTTTTTGCATATATTGTATGAGTGTTGAGCATTGCTAGAAGGTTAGCTTTCAAGGAAGCTGGTAGTGATTTTTAATTAGTTGTGCACACAAGACCAACAAAATGGAGATCTAGCATGGGAATTGGCATATTTTCCTGCTTCTAATGGAAAGAAAAGTTTCAAAGAAACAGAAACAAAAGAACTGGAACCTCCTACTTTTCTGTATGGGGAATATCATAAAGCATATGATCAAATAACAAAGTGATATAAAATTAATACCCAAGAGGCATCATTTCTAGTTGAGTTCAGATATTTTTATAGTTCTTTGCAAGGAGGGAAAACCAGGGAATACAATACTGGAAAGGAAGTTATAAATGCAGAGTCAGCAAAATATTATTCTGGCTTCTTTATTGTTGGCACAAGAGCATACCTAGTGTGAGTCTCACTTGTATTGTAAAGTCAAAAGCAGCAGCAACTAAATAGCTACAATTAGAACAGCCTATTCTGTCCAACTTAATGAAATATCATCTGGATTTTTTTAAAAAAAGAACTAATGTGCTTTTGGCAAGAAAAATACTATATAATTATGTACAAGCTGTTTTAGGACTTTCATTGGTCTTGTTACAGGTTATTTTATGAACCTAGATAGGTCCAGTTTCATTTCTAGGAAGTGAGTCAATAAGTTTAAATCAACTTTTATTTACTTGAATGGGATAATCCATATTCAAAGGGGGCAGGTTATACAAGAGGAATAACTGCTTGTTTTTATTGTTATTTATGTTTGATTGCTTTTAGGGAAAAAATGGAACTAAATACATTATTTGAAATCTATCCTTCTAAACCCTGAAAAAGACACATACTTCAGCTTTGATAGCTATAGAAATCTTGGCACTTTGCAGCTACTTACCAGTTGCAATACCATGTATTCTGTGTGCTATGTGTATCTCATGTACAGAATTCAGAAACTGGAGAGCCTTAGATTTGTTTTGTTTTGGGTTTTTTTAAAAAATAATTTTAACTAATGAAGTTCCTAATACATTGTGGAAAAAAGATAGATGAAATTTCAAAGCCAAACAAAGTCATGAGTGGAATTATTTCTTATTTGGTTCAGTCTGGTTGTGTGTTGGCCTTGGATTTCTGCTGGAGAAGAAGGTGTGAGGTCAACATCACCCATTATAGCCAGCTCCATTTTCCAGGTACTGTTCTAACCTTCTGGATTTAATTCTATGTTTTCCTGTGGAAAATAGCTTCCAGGCTTCAGTTGCATCTCCTGTTTGGCTCAGGGATTGAGATACAACTCAATCATTATAGTGATACCCATCTTTATCCCATCACCTCTCCCAGTGTTGAAAGAGGAATGAGAGAGTTTGGCCCTGTAATACCCCCTACCACCAACTGGAGAAAAAAGAAGAATCATAGTGTTCTCCACTCCCATCCTTCAAAGATGAAACAATAATATCAACAGTACTGAAGGCAGCTGAAAGATCTAGCAGAAGCAGGAGATCACACCCAATCTCGGTTCCACCACCAGTAATACACAAAAGCAATCAAAGGAGTTTCAGTTCCATATCTAGACCTAAAATCCAACTTTAAAAGTCCAGATAATTTGCTTTATCCAGGGTTTTCTGCAACTGTGGATATATGAACTCCATGTAGAATCAGCTAGATATTGTCTAGAAATAAAACTCAAAGAGACAATTATTTTTTTCTTCATCAAATTCAATAGGAATTGATTCTCAATAAAGATATTGGATAGCGCTTTTAGAATTGTTTTACAGAGGGAAAGAGCCTATACAGTCCAACTTATATGAGGGGCACAAAAGCATTTTTATGTCAGTTGTATCCTTGGTATCCTTGGCTGCATTGCTCCGTGTGGGCCACGCTCGAGGGCGACTCTCCTTCAGGGGGGCTGCTGGAGAGGAGGGGGTCATGGGGGAAGGCAAGGCTGGGGCAATGGTACCTGTGCCCACAGAGAGGGCTCCGAGTGTCACCTCTGGCACCCGTGCCATAGGTTCGCCACCACTGCACTAGGTGGAAGAGTGTTACACATCCAATTATAAGAAATATATGTGTGGTACTGTAAAACAGGGCTTTTCAACCAGTGGTACGGGTACCACCTGTGGTACATTGGCACCTTGCAGGTGGTATGCAACCATTCTAGAAAAGTGGTAGCGGGGAGGGGAATGAGCTGAACCAGTGGCAGCACCACACAAGTCTGAGCAAGAGATGGCTGGAGCTGCAGGGTTGTCAGGGCTCAGCAGAAGCGCCAGGATCAGCGCTTCTTCAGGGTTGTCAGGGCTCAACGGAAGCACCAGGATCAGGGCCAGGCTCCAGCTGGAGCTCAGCGCTGATCCTGGCACTTCTGCTGAGCCCAGAAGAAGCGCTGATCAGCTGGAATATTGCAGCATCTCCAGGGTCTTGTGATTTACATTCAGATGCTTGGCAACTGATTCATATTTATGATGGTCACAGTGTCCCAGGGTCATGTGAAGTGACCAAAACCTGCTGCAACCACCCAGCAGATGGTGGGGAATTAAAACCAAACACCCCCCCACCTGACCTCCGTTGCCAATCCTCAACAGAAATGCTCACAACAATGAAAACCTAAGACAGGAAGAAGAGCGCCACCGGCGGGCAGGTGTCTTACTCGGCTGTGGCTTGGGGGCACTTTTTCCAGTGCCATTGTAACTTCGAACAGTCATTAGCAAACTGTTGTAAGTTGAGAACTACCTGTACTTTATTACTCCCCCCCCCCTTTTGGGGGGGTCAAGTTTTTGATACCTTGCTAGGTGGTGGTACTCAGATATTGCCATATCCTAAAAGTGGTACAATGGGTGAAAAGGTTGAAAAGCCCTGCTGTGAAAGACAGACATTGAAAGAACCACATAAAATCTGCATTCCAGTAAACTGCCTTAACATCTCTCTAGCTCTGAGGTCACTCATACCTATGTAAAATGCACTGTAGCAGTGCATTCTCTTTTCATAATGCATAATGCATTATGCATTCTTGTCCTGAATGCAGGACAAGAAGCAACGGATGGAAACTAATCAAGGAGAGAAGCAACCTAGAACTAAGGATAAACTTCCTGACAGTTAGAACAATTAACCAGTGGAACAACCTGTCTCCAGAAGCGGTGAATGCTCCAACACTGGAAGTTTTTAAGAAGAGACTGGACAGCCATTTGTCTGAAATGATATAGAGTTTCCTGCCTGAGCAGTGATTTGGCCTAGATGACCTCCAAGGTCCCTTCCATCATTATTATTATTATTCAAGACTGATTGTTGTTGGCAATAATAATTGAAGAGAAAGGAAGTAAAAACTCACAATAGGACAATAATATGTTCTTTCCACATTTCCAAAAGGAGCTATATGGGGAAAGAGTGTGGGTGATTGATTAACTATATATGCTTATTTTAGAACAGACAACTGCGTAGTATCTAAGAGGCAGTCTATGCTAAACACATGCAGAGAGGCTCCACTGTAACACAGTCTTTGCTGTGATAGAGTGCCACTGACAAATAGCACATTGCAAAGACACCAGAACAAAAGACTGGCTCTAATTAATTCTTTCTTTCCCAACTACGGTA